ACTACAAGATTTCAAATTGTCACAAGCCCGTGTATTTACACTGAACACATATAATATATAACATTATGGTAAATGACAAGCAGGAAACACAGTTCAAAAGAAGAAGTGTGCAAGAGTAAACTTTGATTTCTCACACAATCAACAGACTGGTGGAAAACTCCATTCACGTGTTGGGCATCATATGCAAACAAAACTGTGTTCAAACTAAGTTTTGTTATAGAAAAAGATGAAGCTATATAACAGCTGCATGCACGACAAGGCTAGAATCAGGTGCTGGAGTTTGTTTATGGCTCAAATGACATTAACTTACATAGTAACTGCATCAATCTGCTAGTTAGCTGTCCAGTTAGCAACTAAGTAAGTTTCACAGACATGTAGTCATGCCTGTTACAACTTCCTGGACATGTGCATTCATAAAAGTACTAGACTAAAAATGTGATACTTACGCCGAAACCTCTTTCCCACTAATGATTTGAGCAGACATCTTCTGGTCCTGGAAGTCCGTGTTCTCAGGTGCTTCTGCTGTCCTTGCACGTTCACAGCCTGAGGAGAAGAGGAGCACGCTGCAAACTGGAGTTTATTCCACGGGAGTCTGGAGTGGACGGTGTGGACGCAGGCTTCTTTCACAGCTCCGACACTACTGTTTAAAACCAGCGTAAAAAGTTTAAGGAATAGCGTCTGACGTAGCACGCAGCCTGGCGAGAGGTGGTGGTGGGGGGGTGACGCAGGAGAAGGGCGGGACTATTCGAAACGCATGAAACGCGAACAGCCAATCATATGACTTAAAAAAAACAAGCGCTCGGTAGTCAACGCCAATAGAAACACTTCATCCAACCGAGCGAGTGAGCGAGGTAAGGGGCGGGGGGGGAATGGGCGGGACTTAAGAGGGCGTAATTACACTGAGGACCAGCAGAGGGCAGCACTCTGTGAACACAACGCTTCCGTTTAAAATAAAAACAGCAGCAGTGTTTACGTGTGGGGCAACTTGGCATTTGGTGCCTTTGCCGAAAGATATTTTATTCACCAGAAACTGCGAGAAAACCCTGTACTTCGTTATCTGTGCTGTAGATCCGAAGTAAGACATGAAGACACACAGAAAGCTATGGAGAGTAGATTCTCTGTTCGGAGCGACACTGAAGAGCTGCAAACGCTGATTTCCAACCCGGAGAACAATTTCATCTTCGAAAGGTAAATTGAAAACACTTATTTTATTATTATTATTATTATTTTTAAAGCTAGGAGGCCTCTGTGTATTATCTGGAGGATGCATATACACATATGCATATTGGCTTAGAGTATATCATGAGGTGTCTTCTTTCTCGAAAAAAATGATCGAAGCGACAAACTTTACCTAAAACCACTTCTGTGCATTCCGTGCTTAACTCATTTGCATATGTGTCTTTAGATCCAAGACACTGTTTGAAGAGATCCGTGCCTCCCTCAACAACAATGATGAAGAGGATCGTTCCTTCTGGAGGCCTGTGCTCCCTTGGGGTGGTGTCTTCACCATTAAAGCAGGGCGGAAGGCCTTATCCTGCACCCCTCTGTACGTCAAAATCAATCTAAAGAACACCTGCACCATTGACGGCTTCCTCATGATCCTGTATGTGATCCTGCGAGAGAATCAGGGCTTTCCAAGGGAGCTGGCTGTCTTCCTGGGCAAGCAGTTCGTGGAGTACTTCCTCTACCTGATGGACTCCTGTGACTACACTACAGTCAAGATGCTTTGGATCTGGGACAGGATGTCAAGGAGACAGTATCGCTCTGAGGTCCGGAAAACAGCACTGGAGATAGACCTGTTCGGTAACGAGCATGACAACTTCACAGAGAACCTGGAGAGCCTCATGTCCACCATGCAGGAGAGTCTGTGCACCAACTGGAGCTGCCCGGCCCGCTTCCAGGAGTTCATCAAGACCACGATCAACATCAGGCATGTTGTGATGTCCTTCTCTAAGTTTTAATTTTGTAAACATAGAGTAGATATTCAGTGTGTCATTTACCTCTTGACATACTTTACTTTTTTCGGCATGTAAATCCACATGTTCAGTACTGCGGGTAGAACATTATCACACTGTAGGAGGTATTTCTTTTTATCAAAGTTAATTAGTCCTACCTAGTGGAGTGATTATGGATGGATTGTATAAATGTTTTTTAAAATTGTGTTATTATCTCCCCCTGATGTTTTTCTTCTAGCCCTCCTCATGAGCTGCCTCACAGAGACCCCATCAAGTCGGCCGTGGATCTGCACTTCTGCCCCAAACTCCTACTCTGCTCTGAACTAGGGTGAGGCATAGGGAGGATGTGACATATTTGATATCTATACATTAATATCTTTGTTCAGTCTTATACCCCCTTCTTATTATTTTTTACAGGTGCGACGGTCTAAGGGAGTTCTCACAAAGAGTTTTCTGCCATGGACCCCCACCTTTTGTCATTCTAAATATGCAGCAGTGGAAGTCAGAGGAACTATCTTATGTTCCTTATCACCTGGCTCTCTGTCAGCACAGGTAAGAAGCTTACACAGTGTGTTACCATTGGCCAGTTTACATGCTTCAGACATTTTGCCCAACAGACCTGTAGTATTGCTTAATATGTAAATTATGTAACCTGAAACTTGCTTTGTTGTTTTTTTATCTCTGCTCTGTAAGGTGACCTTGAGAGTTTTGAAAAGTGCCTTTAAATAAAATGTATTATTATTATTATTATTATTTTTATTTTGGTCCATGTACAAAGGCAAAAATGTTGCTTAACCACATTATAAAGTGTACAGGCACATGACAACACCTGCAGAAACGAATAATTAATAATAATAATAATAATTTATCCTTTATTAATCCTGCGAGGGCAAATTCAGTTTCAGAATTCAGATGCAGACATAAAAAGATATTTCCCTATAAAATAAATAATAGAGCTGTCGGATGATTTCATTTTTTAATCACAATTCATTTCTAAATTTCCATTTTAATTGCCATTACTCAAAATTTGAATCACGTTTTAAATTCAATCATTTTGCATTTAAAAATAAAACTTGTTAGGCTTTTATTTTGAATGTTTGTACTGTGTAAAGCTGAGAGTACTTGACTTGTTGTTTGAAATACAGTTAGGAGTTTGTGGTTGAGATAAGGTTACAACATTTACTTAATCTCAGAAAAAGGAACCTGTTATGGATCACATACTGAATAAAAACAGCTAGAGAGGACGGTAATAAAAGTGAAATGTTTGATGTCCTAAGGTGGATATTACTTTGGACTCGTCATGTGAGCTGTCTCAGTTTTTTAAAGTGAAATGAGACATTCAAAGACACATAAGTTTCGTTCATTTCCATCACGGTGACTACAGGGAGACAAAATAACATGCGATTAATCCCCATTTAAAAAAAAAAAAAAATGTATTTATTGGTCGGCTGTGGCTCAGTTGGTGGAGTTGTCGACTCTGAACCTGAAGGTCGAGGGTTCGATTCTTGATCATTACAATACAATGTAATCTAAATTTTGTTAATAGGATTTGTGATTTTCCATGTAAGAAAGAAATACATTTTCTAGCTTTTGATCTATGGATTTACTAAATAAATATAATTGTGTACTCATCACATCTATCTCATGATCTTTCAGATTTACTATAAATTGTGATTTCTAGTATTAAAGTACTAAGTTAAAAGACATATTTTAAAAAAGTATTTGTGAATGATAAAAATCAATATTGTTTCTGAGTACTGTAGACAGAATAAAGAAAAATAGATATATATAATTTGCTCCTTTTTTCCACAGGTACTTACTAGAGGGCGCCACACTCTTCAACAAGGAGGAGCATCACTACTCTGCAGCCTTCCAGATAGACGGCTGCTGGATGCACTACGACGGTCTGAGGAGTGACAATCTGATCCTGTTACACAAGCCGCCAGAGCTCCTGCTGCTGTCTTCTCTGATTTACATCCGAGCCTCCGACAAGTGAACTCCTCTTATCAGAGGTGTGCACACAGGAGGAGCAGGACTCAAACTTAGCACAAAATATAAAAAAAAAAAACATTCCTCGTCTAATATTGAACAATCCCATGGATGGCATGGTGTTGCTGTAATCATGTTTATATAATTATTGAAACATTGTTTTCTGTAATTCATGTGAGCTATATTGCTTCCTCAGTCAGCTGTCAGAGTGCTGAATGATATAAGATCAGATTCTCCTGAATGCTTGCAAAGGATAAGTTCCTGCTTTTTTGAATGCTTGGAATCCAAGAATAATAATGGACTATAATAGTTCTGGGTTGGTGTGCATAAATACAAACCATTGAACCATTGACATGCTGTTCTTATAGTTGCCTGACACACAGAGAAAGAATAGTTTAAAAATGTCGTAGTTGATAAATGGATTACTCTGTGTGCAATAAGAAGACTGTTAATCATCATTTCTATTTCCATCATTTTGGCTGTTAAACATTCATGCACATCAGCCCTTTCTTATTTTTAATAGCGGTGCTTCTTCTAATGACACTGTGGTCTTAGGATAAATAACAACCAAACCAGACTGAGCTCCATGTCAGGTTAACTTGTTGTTTCTTGAAAAGGCTAGAATTGGTGGCTAGCAGTGGTGAGTAAATGTTGAATTATTCCTGAATGACACAAAGGCTGTCGAGTTTCTACTTGTTTAAACTAAAAGGCGCTAAGCTAGCAGCATGTCCATACTAATCAATAGCATGCAAGCATTCCCACACTGTCACAGCACACTCTGCAGCTGCCAAAAATAAACTTTTTAATGTTTTTAAAATAGTGTTAAACATCAAAGAACTTGTTTCACACAGTGCCTCAGTAAGGAAGGTTTGTGGGAATCCTAAAAGGATAAATCCCTGATTGTTGTTTAAATTGAATTGCTGGATTTTGTTGTTGTTTTACACAGAGAGCTTCTTTTAAAATAAAAATATTTTTGAGTAGCTTTGCATTTGTTTGTTTTGTCACTTGTGGATTTTGCGTGGATGGGTTAAAAGAAGAGCCACAAAAAGCAGACGGTACCTTATAAGGCAGGCATTTATTTTAAACTGGGTACAACCGCACCACACAAACAGACTTAAATGTATGTAAAATGTCCTCAATCAAACATGATCAAATGTGAAAAGCTACCGTTTCTACACCTAAGGTTATCTTGTACTTCCAGTATTAATCCACAGGATATAAAATTCATGATCGTCACCTTTGTTTCAGACACACTATGGGAAATGTAAAAGAAGCAGAGTGGTCATTTGGCTGACGTTGACATCAGTTTCAAACAATTTCCTTTTTTCTTCTTTCAGACACAAACACTAGAGCGGCAGTCCATTGCAGACCAGGTTCAAGTCATCCATTTTGCTTTCTTTGAACAAGCACTTTGGTGAGAGTGGTGGCAAAAATCATGACATTGGTTAGGCCTTAATAATAAAAACGCGTACGAACATAATTTAAACATCCCTTCATTTTGCAGATTCACGTTTTCAGATTTTCATCAGCGTAACTCCAATATTCACTAAAGTCGCAGTTACTATTCACCTCAGAAATCATGACATTATACACAACATTGATGCTGAATGAAACATGGCGACAGCTCAGAATTACGCCTGCGTGATTTGTGCTGTTGCTGTTTAGTGACTAACAAAGTCTAAAAGAAAAAGTTAAATACAAGAAGTGAGAAAAAACAAATCAAATAACAGAAAAACCAAAAATACAAACAAGATTTATAATCATAAATACAAAATTTAAAAATAAAATAAAATAAAATAAAAAATCAGTCATACTTTTCTAGAATGACATATATGCAGGAACACCCCTGGGTTGCTTATTTGTGACTTTTTTCAAAATGAAGCAGAAATCAAAGGAAATGACTTTTTAACTCAACTTCTTACCAGTGATCCATTTAAAGGCAAATGTCCTGTTAGTTCCTGTCTGCAGCAATGGTTACAATAATCAAACAACCCAAGGGTAGAGTGCAAGAGTGAAGTGGAAGAGCACCTGTTCCGTCTAGTGTTCACCTCCATGTTTTGAGAACAGCTGTATTTATATTAGAAGTGTTTACATCAAATTTTGGCCATACCATTTTTTTTTTTTAGATCAACTCATCTCAGTCTGTTTAAATAAACAAAAGCCTTGTAACAAAAAGCTCACAAGCAAATACAATAAAAAGACAACACGATTGGGATGAAGCAAAGTCATGATGGGTACCATTTGTGTCATTGGAGCCAACAGTGTCAACCAACAGACATGCCATGTGTGGTTTCTGTTACAACATGAGATGCCTTGGCTTTTTTTTTTTTTTTTTTTGTAAGAGACAAACACAAAACATTTCCATCCACAGAGAGAACATAACGTCTTATTGCATCTAAATGCCATTATACTAAATTAAAACATATGTACAAATGACAACATGTATCAAATCGTTTGGTAAGTGCAATGCAGAGCTCGGTAAGTTTCCACTTGTGTGTGCAGACATCAGTGCACAAAGCAGCTCAAACTAGACTTGACTATTCAAAAGTGACTCAACAAGACACATCAGACCTCCCTCCCCTCTATTGCTGTGCATTGCTTGATGTGTCCATTAGATGTTAGCAAAGGCTGCACATAGTGGCACCATCAGCCGGCGTGAAGTTGGATGCACCCATAGGAACACACTGGGGTTTTACCTCCCAGGACACAGAACAGGTGGCGACATGTCCTGAGTGTTCTGGCACAGCCCTTGGTGCTTTATTATCATCCATCCATAAGACGGCATGGAAGATGTAATGCTAACACATGAACTATAAGGGCACAAAAGCAACTGTTCTAACTGTGGCACACAATGGGAAGCTGCTTCTAGCATTGGAGGTGAGAAAGAAGAAGAAGAAAAAACAAAAAAGTTTAGGTTTTTGGCACTTCACATGAAGCGGTGAACGGATTACCTCATACCTGAGCCTGCAAACAAGACCAAGGCTACATGACAATCACGTTTGGTGGTGAGTGCAGTGAGCAGGTGTCAGGACCAATTACATGCTAAGAGATTGACTTTATACTGGGGACAGAAATTAAGAACATAAGGCAAACGTAATCTACTCCAGGGAATATGCGGAAGAAGGGTGATACTAACTCAGCCTCATTATAAATTAAGGACAACCACAAAAAAAAAAAAAAAAAAAAAAAAAAAACTTCCATTTATGTATGATGTTAATATTCAGAGTACTACTGTTATCCAATCACAAGTTTCCCATTCAGTAGGGCCTTTTTATTGCCTTATATGGGGCCTTTAAAATTCAATGCAAATAAATCAAAGATGTAATGCGGCAGAGGCTGAAGAGAGGTTGACCTAATTGTATGAGGCAACGCAGACAAAACAGCTGAATCCTAAATATAGCACCAGTTGGTATTGTGTACAGACCAAAGGGTGGAGAAAGAGGGCCCAGGTCCAATTCAACGACTATGAAGAAAAGCAAGTCCATGACCTGACATTAAGAAGATGTAACAGAAGCTAGAACATGGGGCTGTTTAATGGCTCCGGGTATGAAGAAGTGACGGGTGGCGAATACTCTCAGGAGAGAGTTTGCTATTCACCTCAACGCAGAAATCAAACTTAACACTCATCCAAACACACAACACGCGCGCACACACACACACGTGACCCAGTGCAGAAAAACATTTACAGGCAATGCACTAGAGGATATATTCATATCTATATATTTCATTGAGACTATTTACAAGAGAGAAAAAGGCAGCCCTTTTGGAGAAAATATAAAGATTGAAAGTTGTCTGTTTACTTGTGAAGCACTGATTTAGATGCAGAACTCCTTCATCACTGAGCCCAAAGCATCAGTTCTGCACGCAGACACGTACCAAAACAAACAAACAAACAATCCTATTTGACATGCATGTACCCCTCGAGCATTCAAACAGACACACACGCTACATGGCCGACAAACACATTTTCATACATATTACACCAGCCGACTGCGGTGTTCTACAAAACGTCAACGCACGGTTCTAGTTGCAGCAGGGAAATTAAGTGACGTCATTAAGTGTTAAACATAATTAATGGCATGAAGAAGGACACAAAACAATGTCTGCTAACATCATTTCGAAACAAAAAGTGACAAGTTTTCCCCCACAATCCTCTGGGAAATGGCTCAGAGTCCTCATTGTGGTGCAGCAGCAGCAGCAGCAGAGCAGGTATCCCCTCAGTCCAGTGACAAAAATCTGTCCCGTCATGTTCCTTTCTTTCAGCACAACTTCGCAGCTCTTTTCTCATTTCTGCTACTATGCTTGTGGTCCCCGTTTAGCCGGCCAGCTAGCCCGGCACATCCATCCACCCAGCAGGCGCTCTCTTTCTCCTCTGGTGTTCACGTCTGTGTGTAGCACTCCTCTGCACCTGGAGGATGAATGTGGGGAAGAAGGAGGAGACAACAAAAAAGAAACGTCTTTGTGTCTATAAGTTCTCTCATGGGGTCCTAGCCGCCTGAGCCATGGGTCAAAGGGCAGTCAGACCAAAGTTGCAACGGCAATACATCATTCCGCTAGAGTCCAACCAGCTGTCTGAGATAGGATCATAGCGCTGGACAGTGTTCAGGTAGGATGACCCCGAGTGGCCTCCCACAACATAGAGGTAGTTATCCACGATGGCAGAGCCAACACCTGCAACACATGGTCATGATTACATTGAGCTACGTACAAAATACAAATAGAAGCTTTAGCCAAAACATGACATCAACTCACCAGTGCGTGGTTCATTCATTGGCCGACATGCCGTCCACTGTTTCTGATGTGGATCATACCTCTCAATGCTGGACAGGTGTGAAACTCCGTTATGTCCGCCAACCACAAATATGAAGCCGAGCATGACACCTACTCCAAAGTTGATCCTCTTGTCTGCCATGGGGGCTACCATTTCCCAGGCATCCTTGCTGGGGTCGTACTGCTCAACGCTGTGTGGAGCAGATGGAGAGACATTAAGACAACACAATATTTCAAGAGTATAAGCGCAGTTGATTCAAACACCTTAGATTTATACTGTACTAATTTATGAGTTGTAAGCAAGGTCAAGAAACTGGGTTTATTTTTATAGGTGCTGAAACAATAGATGTTGAGGAAAATCTATAAAATGTGGTAGGCTTGAAAGTACCAATAGATAACTCTGACTCCTAGCGTTTAAAAATTGGTACTGCAGTCCAAACTCAAAACATTGGAGAGACCCATCTCCCTCTAACCCCTCCTCCCTAGAGTCCATGTGCACGCTGTCATGCTGTCGTGCTGTCATGCCATGTTGCGGGCACAGAAGCCGTCTTTAATAAGCTCTGCGTCAGTCTTGAAACCATTCTGCGTTCTTAAATCTCTCCATTTTTCAAAAGCGTCTCCAATATTTAACCTTGTTTAGCCAAGTTTCTGGTCGTGGAGCTTATTAGAAAAATGCTGAGGCTTTTTAGGTCTGATGGAATCAGTTATATCTGAACCAGTCCGCTTGCCCGCTTCCATCACTGCAACACCTGTTGGCTTGCCGTTTGCCTGGCAAACCGAGGGGGGGGGGGGGGGGCAGAACGGCTTTGTGGGGGTGCCGCCCATTTCTGTGGTCCAACCGAAAACAAACTATCCTGCATGACAATCAAAACTTAGCATGTTGCCTTAATGTCTCATCATATAGCAAGTTCATTTCATGTTTTAATTCAGTAAATATCTCATCATACCTTTAAAGCGCACGTTAATAGTCTTTGCTTGTAATCACACGGACTAAAACTATTACCGAAGCCTCTTTATGACAACGGCAAACAAGACCATCAGAGAAAAGCTTGATTATTTCTACAGTTATTGCTCGTGCCCGTCATCTCTGCCAAGTGTCAGATCAGGCAATAAACAGCAAAATGCCAAAAAATGTACTGTGAGTTGCATATTAAACATTAAAAATAAAGAAAACACAACTCACATGTGCGGGACAAGATCGACAAAGAGAAATCGATCAACATTTTCCACAAGCTCAGCAACATTGACATATCCCAAAATGTCCTCACAGGAGCTTTAAGCAAGTGCAATTTGTGGCTATAGGTGTATAAAACCGCAAGAAAAGAGAAGGTAATCAAGGAGTTTTAAACCTATTCTACATGCTAATTTAACTTAGTGACAAAGAACCTAATCAGACCAATGCTAGATTTTATTTAAAGAGTTATTTAAAGAAAAGACACACACACACACACACACACACACACACAAAAAAGGCCAATAACCGCTACTATGCGTAACCAAATTTGTCAAGACCCAAATGAACCCTTGATAGCGACTAGAAGACCAACAATCCGGGATTGTTTTTGCAGCACGCAGGAACATATCATCCACTTGGGAACGACATGAAAATAGTCCTCAAAGATTCTGTCCAAACACATTCTCCTGAGGGGTTTCAGGAGTCAAGGAAACAAGCAACAGAGACGCTGCTCTCTAGAGATACAAAGCAACAACAGAGGTCCAACCAGCAGCACAGCCAGGCACCCTCTCAATGAAACTTGAGCAATCACTCCTGCGAGGACTCCTCTTCACACATTAACAGGGCCCCGACATTTTTTCAGACACACTAGACATCCTTCACTTCTTTGTCAGAGCCACTAAATATCTACCAAGACCACGAGGTAGCAAGCCAGCGTAGAAGAGAAAAGATTATTTCTGTCAAAAAAAAAAAAAAAGGTGTGGTAGAGCTCATAAATTGTCATAATGCTGATGTCACATTTCAACTGCAGGAGTGAAGAAAGGTTAGTTTTATGTTTTGATCTTTGGTCGCTCAGATCCGATGTGGAATTGATTCAAGTACGGAGAAGAGGTTTACAACATCAATTACAGATACAAACTGAGCATCCAAAAAACAATCTGTTGTATTTTTCTTATAAAAACCTTTCAATTCAATATTATGATCATGATTATAAAAGGGAATTTAATACTTTGATGCTTATGATTTGAGCACAAATAAGAAGTGTCAAATTGTTCACCACAATTTGATTAAATAAATCAGTGAACAATTTCCTCAAAAGTGCACCTTTCTATTCATTAAAGGCTCATAACAAATTGTTGCATTTCAGCAGGTAAATAAACAAGAACAGTCTCTGTGGTATTACCTGTTCATATGGGCTGGGCCGTAGCCTCCAATAGCGTACACCATGCCATCAAGCACGGCAGTGGCAAAGCAGCTGCGGGACTTCGTCATGGGTGCCACAGGCTGCCATTCCTTTAACTTGGGGACGTACTTCTCCACTGACTGGAGGTAATACTGGCCGTCGTAGCCTCCGAGGGCGTACAGTTCACCAGCCAGGACCACCACCCCAAGTGTGCTGCGGCACTCAGCCATGCGCTCCACCGTGGACCAAGTGTTGCTTTCAGGGTCCCAGCTCTCCACCGTGCTCTCGTGTCGCCGATAGCTGATGCCTTGCCTCATGTGCGTGGCGATGCCTCCTACCACATACACCTTGTGGTCCAGGACCGCCACTCCAAATTCATACCGGGGAACACTAAGCGGGGCCAGCCCTATCCATGAATCAGTCTGTGGGAAATACATTTCCATGCTGCAAGACAAGACAGATCATATCCAATTAGTTTGTGGTTAAACAAAGACCGTAACAAATGTTTAAACGATGTAGAAATGATTGGATTACCTTTCTAATGTTGCAAACAACCCCGCCTTGCCTCCAACTGCCAGCAGAACCTTGGGGGCGCACCTGGGCCGTGCCGACAACACAGTCTGATAGGAGAGTCGGTGCTCCGGCATAAAATGATATTTGAGGGCCTCATTGAGCAGGTGCTTGCATGCGTGATCATCTCGTATAAGGTGGTTGGCTTCGTATAGGCGAGTGAGAAATTTGACGCTGAGTAGTGGAAGGCGGACGCAGTGCAGCAGCTGAGCCAGGTGCTGCTGTCGCTCAGTTACGTCGTATTTGATCCACGACTCCAAAGCGTAAAACACAGTCTCCTCTGTCACCACCTTTAAGCAGTCATTGGACACAATTTCATCCAACTCGGCCCGTGTCAGTTCAAAAAACTCCTCCGTCTGACAAACTTCTTCAAAGTTCTCACAGATAAACTTAGTTGCAGCCAGGCACAGTTCATGACAGCCATACGTCTCTGCAAAACGGGAGATACCTATACAGTTTCCAGCATCCAACTGACTTTCTAAAAAGGAGCAGCACTCCTTAAGTACTAGCTTAACCTGGAGTAAGTTGGCAGCCGGTAGCAGAGATTCCACAGTTTCCTGGGAGATAAACACAGTCCCAGTGTAGGCATACTCAACAATGGCCTGGAAGAGAGAGAGAGAGAGTAGAAGTGTTAAATAAACCATCACTTAATCAGAGCACTTGGTGGTGTCTGGCGGCTGAAAGCATACCTGTAAGGCAGTCTCATCAATGCACTGGAATTCCACCTCAGATGTCTCTTTTTCCGACAGGTTACCTGTAAACATGGCCTTGAAGTATGGGCTGATGCTGGCCAGCACTACTTTGTGGGCATGGATCTTGGCATCACCCACACGCAGGACAATGTCACATAGTTCGTGATCCTGCCGCAAGAGCTGGAGGCCTTGCAGCAGCTGTTCCGAGTGAGGCCGTTTCAGACTGGCAAACATATAGGACTGGTCCTGCTGGTCCATCTGTTGGCAGGAATACACATATCATTGCAGTGTTGTCATTTTGGAAATGATTACACGGATTGAGTGGAAATACTGAAAAAATAAAAATAAATAAATCAGCCATTTGTCATCTTGTGGCTGTGACAATACAAAGCTGAACAGCAAAAATAGACATAGGGCTGTGCATATTTAAGTTATTTACAGCACGCCATATGGATACATGCCTGGACAGGATGATGCATTCAGGGATGTTTTGTAGTAGCTGTTAGCATACCCCGAGCCAAGCTAAATAAGCATAATCTTCTCCAGCGTTGCAAAAAGTAAACCAGCCGTACTACCTAGAAGACGATCTTAAAAATCACCTCAACCAAGCTGCTGTGCATTTAAAACATGTGACATTCAGGGGCAACAACTGTAAATGTTAGTGTATTGACTGTGGCCTTGTCTTAATTTCTGAATGGAGGACATGGCCAGATCAACACTCAATTACTATCTCTTAGCTACACGCAGCAGCTTAGCCATCAACACTGGCACATCCCAACCACAGCTTGGTTTTTTTTGTACAATTTTCAATAAGATACAGAAGATTTTTTTTTTTTTTTGCATTGACATGTATGTCACCAGCATGTCGTGAACCTTGTTAGACCAAAGCCAATAAACAGGGCCCACGTCTGTGTTTCAATGCACTGCAGTCAGCGAAGGTTAGCAGCTAAAAATAAACACCGTTACTGTGGCTAGCTGCATCATTGATTGATATACAGTAACAAGGCTGACTGATACAAAACGTGACGTCATGCCGAGCTCAGATACAACACACAGATGACAAACCTGTAACATGTAGTCCGTCTGTTGTGCCGCCGTGATGACCGATTTTGCAGTGGCGGAGTTCAGTGGCGACGGGTAGGAACCCCAGGCGGCTATCAGGAAAACAACCTACTGCCAACCTAGCCACAGAGCTACAGATGAGCTCTTATAATAGAGACAGCACACCCACTTCCGCTGCTGTCAAAATAAAACTACACTCACGAGGGAGAGCTGCATGCATATCAACCATTTCTAAACCAAGACAATCAGTCACTTTGCCAATATTTAAAAAAAAAAAATAAAAAAAATTAAATATTTTTTTCACATGTCAATAAAAACCTTATTCCAAATACGCTTCTGCACAAAATGTAAGTACGGGTATTTAAGCACTTAAATTCAAGAAGGCTTAAGTATTAGGTATTATTATCAGAATACATACTTTATTTTTAAAAGTAACACATCAATTTGTAGATGACAATTTCTTATGATTTTAAAGTTATTGGCCACTATCACTCCATGAAATTGTTTATGATGCAATAATTTGTAACTAGTAGATAGATAGATAGACAGACAGACAGACAGATCGACAGACAGATAGATAGATGGATAGACAGACAGATAGACAGACAGATAGACAGATAGATAGACAGACAGACAGACAGACAGACAGATAGATAGATAGACAGACAGACAGACAGACAGATAGATAGATGGATAGACAGACAGATAGACAGACAGATAGACAGATAGATAGACAGACAGACAGACAGACAGACAGATAGATAGATAGACAGACAGACAGACAGACAGACAGACAGATAGATAGATAGATAGATAGACAGACAGACAGGTAGATAGATAGACAGACAGACAGACAGACAGATAGATAGATAGATAGATAGATAGACAGACAGACAGACAGACAGACAGGTAGATAGATAGATAGATAGACAGACAGACAGGTAGATAGATAGACAGACAGACAGACAGACAGGTAGATAGATAGACAGACAGACAGACAGACAGATAGATAGATAGATAGATAGATAGACAGACAGACAGGTAGATAGATAGATAGATACTTTATTGATCCCGAGGGAAATTCAAAGCATCCAGAAGCAGTTTACAAGACATGACATGAAACATTTGTTACAAATTAAGACGCTAAAATACATATATATATATATTAACCCGAAAAAAGATTTAAAGAATACCCCTAGATGAAACAAACTTAAACTGTGCTATTAAAAATAGATTTATACAAGAAATGTATATAATTTACAGCTTTTACAGCTGGTCCAATTAAACTATATATGTTTTACTAAGTTGTTTTACTAATTTTTGTTTCATGTTGTCTTGTAAAAATGTACGAGTAATTAGAGCAAAAAGAAAACCAACCTATATTTCCCTCTGAAATATCAGTCAATGAAGTAGTTTCAGTGTGTCAAATGTAGGTAGAAATGGTAACCGAGCAATTTACTTTTTTTTTTTTTTTAATGTTTCTTTTGTATAGGTGCATCTGTAAAACATTAGTAAGAAGTGGCCTGTGTTTTTCTAGTTTGGATTTCTCTAAATAAAATACATTATGCCTGAAAAGCCATACAAGTGTAAAATTCCAAATCAAATTTAAAGAGCACAATGTATATTTAGGGTATAAAACATGTTGATTTAGTAGTTTAAGGCTTCTAAAAAATAAAAAAATAAAATAAAAAAAGGCCTGTATTTTAAGTTTTCGTCCCTGCAGCTCTGTGGTGATGTTACCGCCTGGAACGCGTCACCATGGAAGCGCTCAGTTTGCGACATGTATTCGCCATTTTGCTGCCTTGGTGTGTGCGTGTGTGGGCTCCTCTCTCTCTCTCTCTGTGTGTGTGTGTGTGTGTGGAAAACCTCTGTAGCTTTCAAACATTCAACACTCTTACCAAACAGCTTAAACAACCGTGGAAAATGTCTCCACTCAAGAGAACTGTAGCTGCCGCAGCCTGACATGGACATTTGGACGACGTAACATTAGATCTCTTTCTCTTCAAGCGCGACCGAAGAGGACCGGGAGCTATGCGAGGTCTGTTTTTTCTTGTTGTTTTTCTAACTTTGCTAGTCCAAGTCTTCCAGTAATAACCACTGATACATGTAGCCGAGGAGCATGTTAGCTTAGCGTCGTTGCAGTTTGCTAACTATAAGGTTTCATTACTAATGCTTATTAGGCTGCTTAACGGTGATGTAGTCTTGTATTGGTGTGACCCAGTTGGAGGAATTTATTAGTGTAACTTGGCACAAGATGCAAGCGACCCTATTCATTTTAACTTGTAATAACATAGAAGGTCGACACATAGAGCTGGTTTGTTTAAAGGTTATCTCAGCATCTATGTGGGTAACTAAGGTGCTGTGCCTGACAGCCACAAGTGGTCGTCTCCTAGTTGGTGGTAGTAGATAATGATGTTAAGGAACAACTACCTCATTTAACATGCAGCGTTGCAATGATGTAATTGTGGTGTAACATGTTCATATGCATTATTACAGAGGCTCGTAGCATTCATTTCCCTCTAAGGAGATGAGGATTTGTTTTGTCTCATTGGCCTGCTTTTTCTCTGTTTTGTATTCACAGCTTGACAAACAGATGAGTGGTTTTCCATCAGCAACCACTCAGGATGAAGGCACGAAGTAAAGAGGAGGAATATTGTTATCCTCACAGGATTGCGGATGCTTATTTGGATTCTCGCATTTGACCGCATCCGCAAGAACATCAAAAATGATACCTGGATTGATCACTCAGGAGCTACACCAGCAGCTCCTGGACCTGAAGAATTACCAAAATCGCACAAATGGAGTTGAAGAGCTCAAACATGCCTTGTCAGAGGTGGACATTAAATCAGTCCCTTCTGGCAGTATTGAGGAGCTAGTCAATTTTCTGCCGCGACTCTTGGATGACAGTAATTTCAAAGTGTTTTACAGCACCTTACAAGTTTTAAACTTGCTAATTCAGAAGCTAGATAGAGGCGTCGACAAATATTTCAAACAGATAGTCTTATTGGCGCTTAAGGCTCTCGGGGACACCCGCACTGTCACTAAAATTGAATATATGAATGTGTTTCGACAGCTAATGAAAACTGTACCACCGCAGCAAATACTGGATCTTGTCATTGGCAACTTGAAACACAAGAATTCAAGGGTCCGGGAGGATGTACTCAACATCATTATGGCAGCTCTGCTCACTCATCCCAGAAAAGATTTCAACATCCCCAAGCTTTGTTTTGAGGTTGCACCGACCCTGGCAGACAGCAAAAGGAAAGTCCGCCATGCAGCTCTTGAGCTGTTTGCTGTTTTTGACTATTGCCTTGAAATAGGGAAAAGGCAGCCCGTAACGAAAGCTGTGGACATGGTTGAACTCAATGAGGATGCAGAGGGGCTAATGGCAGCTGTACAGGCAAGGCGAGCAAGACATGTCCTTCCAAAACTTTCCTCAGATGGGACAGTGGAGTATGGCTTAGTCATACCCAAACCAGGACAGCGGTCCTCTTTTCAGAATGGTTCTGGAGCCGACCTGGACTGGGTGATGAATGGGGGGAGGGTAAGCAGTGCAAGGAGCCATCGGACTGAACCAGACTGCGAGCGGTTTTATAGCTATGGCAGCTTAGGTTCTCTCACTGATGACCCTCCACACCAAAGGAGGATTGTTAGCGCGGGCAAAGGGAAGAACAAACTACCCTGGGAGATGTCGACATTCTCATCCACAGAGACTGACCTGCAGTGTAATACTCCGAATGGAAAGATCTCTGAACAGGTGGGGTCCATCACCACTGTCTGCTTGTCATATTCTTACATATTTCTCGTGATAATTAAGCCATCCGGGGACATTCCAGAATTAGCACCACATCTTTGAAATAAGACACACAATTTAAAATAATAACATTCTGTCATATGTAGCTTTGTTTTGCTCTGATCAGACCGACATTCTGCCATTTTAGTTGTCAGTGATTGACATTGATGAAGCAGCTATGACTGCTCAAAAGCAAAGCCCCCTCCCCTTTTATTCTAAAAATACTCTCTTTTTTTTTCAAATCAAAATCAGTGAGAGCTTTAATCAGCTAACTGTTGACTGCCTGTTCTGAGGTTTTAGAAGCACACAGTGCTTTTCACATTGACTTTGAAATTTCAGAGCATCTCCTTGTCTCGGCAATAATCCTGATTTGCTCGCAATCAGTGAGCAAGTGCAGTCCTCGCACAGAGCATGAAAGGCATGGCTATTTTTGTGTTGGCTCGCTTGGTCTGCGTCCAGGTAGTCTTGCTCATTATTCAGTGGAATGATATTTTAAAAATTGCTTTGCCTTCAAAATTGTGGATATTTTTACAGTTTACTGACCAAATGTTATGCTTGTTTGAAACATGCTTTGTCACACCCAATTGTATGGTCTTAAAAGTTGAAAAAAATCTTCTAGGTGGCGCCTCCTTTCCTAAATATAGTTCTATTCCTCATGATGCAGTATAGATTGAGTCAAGTAGGAAGGGATATCTTTTATCCCCCTTCATAGAGTTCTGTGATATCCTGTTTAATCAACCTGGAAAACCCTACTGGGGGTCTCATTGTCTAGAAAATCTTGTAATGCTTACTAATTACCCTCCCATCTATTGCTGTATAAAAATCAGTCTCTCTTTCATTATAAACAACATTCAAACTGCATCATATGTTTTATCTCGCAAACTAAAATAATGTGTTTAGAATAAGCAACCAGCCGCTCTTTCCTCATGTGTCTACTTATTGATCGCTCAGTTTCATAAAGTATTAGATGCTGTATTCAATCTATGATCCAGCTGGTGCCTCCATTTGAACAACCTTCTGTTTAAAGCTGTGTCTGTTTCCCAGCAACCCTGTTAGCACATAGCACACTGAACTGAAGGACATGTGAAACCTAATTGGTAATATCACAGAGTTAGCTTGTAAAACATGGCTTGTTTACAGCTCTAGTGTTGATTATATTCTCACCAAGTGCTCTTCAATGATTGTCGATCAGATTGGAGGCTGTGGGACTCATTCTCTCAAAGGCTGAGTTTGATGCAGAATTCTGTCATTATGCTCTCTCTACTGGATTCATATATTTTAGGACAAGATTTCACAAGTTGCAGATCGGCAGTTAAACTTTCATGAGAACGTTAGAAGTGTAC